GTAACTGTTTCTGTTCGGTACTTATAGAATCCTTCCAGATAAATTATTTTAAAATTGACACTATTTCCTATTGAATGCCTTAAGTTTCAATTTTCAATGTTTTTAAAAAGCCTCACATGGAATGCCACTTGATTTCTTTTTAAAGTGTTCTTGTAGTCTTAGAAAAATTAGGATCTGATCATTTGCAATATCTGCAGGTAACAAACTCAAGGATTGCTGAACAGTGGTGAGCTACTGCTTGAATGTTATACTTTCAACTTTAACTGCTCTAGAGACATTTTTATTTGCTATTGTTTGCCTAGTTGATCGTTGTCATCTAATTCAGGCGCCTTTGACTATTCAAGTCAATATTTTCACCTACTTGGGGGTTTAATCTTGTCCCCAGCTTATCAGACTGTATATTTATTTCCCTTAAAAGTAACCATAGCATATTATTTTTATTGGATCAATATTAAAAATTTGGCATTGTCGAATACCTATTAAGGACGATAGAAGTTCCAGATTCTGATAATGGGGTAGCTTGCGTGAGAGCACATATATTTTCTTGTAGATTATCCCCAGATCCTTTGGAATAGTGTATCACCTGACTTATTAAATCTCAAACTGTAGTCCTCTGTTCTGCTCCCTTTATTTTATTTTATTTTATTTTGTTTTTCTCTTTTGTATCTGTCAGAGGATTATTGTATTTAATGGTAAGAAATAAAATGTCTGCTGATCCTTTGTTTTGGGGGTTAGTTCCAAGTACACCACTGTCCAAGTATATAGTTTGCTGCTGTATTTCAGTGTTTTCTAATCTAGAAGAGTAAGTTGTGAGATAGGACCACTTGTATACCATTTAAATATTGTTTTCAGCATTTAAATATCCTTTTACTGATTTGCATCTTTTGCTTAAGCAGGAATGGCGACAATGATGCAATTGCTAAAATGAAAGCAACTGAAGACACTCTGGAAGCCAAAGAAAAGGTGGCCTTTTCCTTTCCCCTTTTGCTTCTACTATTGATTATGTTACTTCTCTGCATATTTTGCCCCTATGGTTGTCCTTTTCTCTTTTTCCTGCAGGGACATTGAGAAAATATGAGTCTTTATGAGCATTATTGTAATGAGTACCCATTAATTTTTGTTTCCCTTTGGCACTATTGCATGAGTTATCAGACTTATAATTGCATTGTGATTTACAGCAAAAGCCTTCATTTGAGCTGTCTGGGAAGCTTGCAGATGAAACTAATCGAGTCAGAGGTGATTACTACACTTTGACATAACAAGCAAAATGGCAAAATGTTTGTTTCAAACGTTGTTTGGTGGGATAGGGGATATATTTTGGTTTCTTTGAAACTTTTCTCTTACTGTGCTACATGTATATATGGAAATAGATTAGCTGAACAGGAAAATCCTTTAAGTTTCTTCCTCCATATGTGACATTATTAAATTAGCTGTATCTTAATGGTATG